CAGGACATCGAACAGCAGGCAGTCCTTGAGCAGTTGCAGTAGATAGAGGATCATTACACGGTCATGGCTGCACCTGTGGCTGATGTCATCCGAGTCCTGGGTCGACCCATGCCTGGCCAGGCACTGCCTGCTGCAGCTGCATAGGGGCAACTGCCATGCAGGTCAGCCACATGGCGGCAGATACACCAGATGCCTGCTGCCTAGACACAGGTGCAGCCATGATCATGTAGCGATCCTCTATCTGCTGCAACTGCTCAAGGACCACCTGCTATTCAGTGTCCAACAGCCCCTCAAACCAGACATAGGGGGCCCCACTGGCATCCTCCTCCACCTGGGCCTGTACCTGTTGTGGCTCCTGTTGCTGAAGCACCAGTGGAGCCGATGAAGTGGATGGGGAGGGGTTCACCACAGGCGGGGAAGACCCATGCTGTCACTGTGGCGAGGGTGAACGTGACAGTGCTGATTGCTGGGCAGGTGGAGTTGATGCCAGAGATGGGGCAGACGCTAGTTGCTGCACATCACCTACATCACCATCACTGCCACCAACACTCCCCCATCTGCTGGCACGCCATCCCTGCAACCAGAAGCATTGATTATGGCTCATGCTGGAGCCCCCAGGCCTGATCAACAATACATGTACCATGCACTCAATCCGAACTCACTGTGGGTCCCAGCGACTCATTGACACTGCATGAGGACATCTTGTGTGGTCGTCACACCCAGTGGTGCCTGCTGGGTGGTGCCGGTGGTGGTGATGGTTGTTACCCTGCACCCCATGACAGTGAATGTTGGGGCTTGCCACAGTGACCCACCCATGCTCAGCCAACATGTGAAATGGACAGGTGGCAGCAGCTGGGCAGGAGGCATGACCAGCCTGACAGGAGGTGATGGAGAGGTGACAGTCATACACACCAGGGGCACTGGCACCCTGTGAGTGGCGGGTGGAGCAGCTGAAGGGGCCCACAGGGAATCACTGCTGAGCTGCACTGCAGCCCATGTGCCGCTACTACCATGAATGGCTCCCACAGCATCGTCCGTCGGATTGATGAAGGAGTTGATGATGCCGGCTGCTGCACCACCAAGGCGACACACCTGCCACTGCTGCAACTGCAACTGTTCCAGTAGGACTGCACCCTGGATGGTTGCTGCTGCCTGTTGCCAAAGGTATTCCTCTACTGTGTGGTGCAGAGGAGCCGGCCCGTGGTACTCCCTGCTGCAGCCAGCAGTGTTGTCCATCTCTATAATGCCTAGGTGCTCGCCACCAGCTGAGCCCTGGTCATACCAGGGTGTCTGAGCAGCACCGTGCTCTGCAGGTCTGTTAGCGCGTGATAGCGGCGAGAGCCGACAGGTTACAGAACGGATTCACTCCGTCAAGGACTGGGTTCTGTTCTGAGTAAGGAGCGTCAGAAGCGTAGGCTTCTGGTATCTCTCTCACTGGGGTATCGTTGGTTTGATCTCCAATCCCAGGCTTCCTCCCGAGTATAAATACTCGTTGCTTAGGAGGCCGTAACAACTTCTATTGTACGACATCTCTTCAGATCTACATTGGTTGCTCGAACCGATGAGTCTGTAGGTATCTCAAGTGCGTGTCATTCCTTGGTAAGGAAGCACGTCTGAACTCTAAGATATTCGTAGACTGTTCGTAGCTCAGTCTCATCAAGTCGTGCCTTAATCACGCAGCGATTAAGTTCTGTAACGCTCTAACATGCTACAACATCTGCCCCCCTTTCTAGACGCCTGCATCCACGCGGTGCGCAGTCCAATAGGCATCGATAAGAGATCTCTCGGGGAAAGCAGGTTCTTCAATCCAACTGTTATTCTCATGTCCATGACCAACCCATTTCACGAGATATCGTGTCAGGGTTCGGTTTCGGAGTTTCCGTTGATCATGATCTAGAATGCGTTCAGGTGTCCATACAGAGGTAGAACCTTCAGGTTCAATTCCGACTGTAGGTCGAGGTGGTTGTACGGTGCCATCAGATCGATAAGGCCGTATCAACGATACATGGAATACGTTATGGAAACGATATTCCTCTGGAAGGGTCAATCTAGCGGCAGCAGGATTGATCATCTTCTCAATCGTGAAAGGTCCAATCCATTTAGGCATCAGTTTCTTCGAACCTTTCTGGAGGGTTAAGTTCTTCGTACTGAGTAAGACTTGTTGTCCTTCAGTAAACGACACATCACGTCGTCCTTTATTCTCTTGCTTAATCATTCGATCTTGCGCCGCCATCAAAGCAGATTTAGCAGCAGCAAGTCTCTTGGCATTCGTATCAACGTAACCTTTGGCAAAGGGAACTGTGTCACCGAGTTCGAGTTGTACAGGGGTCTTAGGATGACAGCCATAATTCAGGAAGAATGGACTAACTCCTGTTGAGCGGTTCTTCGAGTTATTAATCGCAAATTCAGCCGGTCCGAGA